TAGCTGAAATAATAATTGGCTACTTATTTTTATTGTGGGTTCTGGCTAACAAGATTTCCCTGCTGCATTTCTGTAGCAACATGGCTTTAAATTTTCCTGCATTCTCGCTATTGTAAGATAAATGCTCTTTAATGCTCTCTACAAGGAATGCGATGGCACTTGTGACAGTCAAGGTAGGTGAGCCAATCAGGAAAATGGGATACAGAAATTAAACCACACCACCGCCCAAGTTATCCAAACTGGTGGGCAAATCAGCCCACTGACACCAGTAGATTGCACCAGAGCACCATCGTCTCTGTCAAATGTTGTCTGAAAGTCATTATGTAATTTTGTCAGTTATATATAGACATATGAATACAACTACCTGTATTTTTCCTTTAATGAATGTGGTGACGTCATTTTCATTTTCAAAAATGGAGAGGGTCTGCAGCAAGTTTACTTCCAGCCATTCCCAGTGCTCGGTCACCTCCCTCCGAGAGCCACCTGGACACAAGAAATTCAAATGATTGCAATCTCACCTTCGTTAATATTGAGATGTATATTTGTGCAATCTGAATGGGGCCCATTAAAAAGAAAAGACTTGAGTGTATTCTAATTAATAATAAAAATGATGAAATTATTCACAATAGTCTAGTCATGCAAACCTTGTCTGTCAGTAATTAGGCTTAAAGCAAACCACAGACAGGATATTTGATCTGGCTGTTTTCATTGGACACTGATCTCACAGGGACCATTGAGCATGAAGGTTAGGCCAACCTAGCAAGTTTATGGAGCAATCTGGGACATTTGGAAAATTTGTGGCCTAGTTTGCAGTCAGATTCTGCCTGCACATTTGCTCCCTCTCTGATATCTTCAGGTTTTTAAACATGGGCCAATACCATCATACAAGGATCACACAGTATCTACATGTTTATGCAGTCCAAGCAAGGCTACTTCTACTATAGCCAAATCTGTTATAAATTGGGTTACTCAAGCACAATACAGGAGAGCCTTATCTGTAAATATATTCAAGCCTTACTATTGGACGATTTATTGAAAATATACCTAGAGAATATAATGTGCGGCTTACCACAAGCAATAGTCCAGTACACCAGGGAGTCTGGAGTCTGATATAGGATGCGATAAGGTGCCACTCTTGCACTTGAGTCCAAAACAACATCAAGTGTCCCAACTAATAAACCTGAAAATGAACAGGGAATTCATCAAGAGAAATCGCGAGTGAGTTTATGGAAATAAGATAAGAAGTCATAGTTAGGATTAATGAATTATGCATATTTATCTAGGACAGTTGATAGACTGTTTTATATTACTGTATATATTACACTTTTTCCATGAACAAGGGAACTACTAAAGGTTGCTCAATAGGTACATAAAAGGTGCATAATTGGCTCTTTGCCTTTTCCAAAACTGTTAAGGTATAGTTTAATGGCACACAATCATATAACAAGTAAAGCTCTAAAATAAACCACAACTAATATAAAATCACACCCAAAATGAAAAGATGAATGTACACAAATAGTGAACTCCCTTGCAGAAATGTAAAAATCACTCTGGTCCATAGGAGGTATAAAGGTGTGACAACTGTAGTAGTTACAGAAGCAGGTTTTGGCAGTGCAGACAATATTTTGGTCAAAATTTCCAGGTGGATGGGATGCTGGCATACCGTACTGCTCCATATGGTCTCTTCCTTCAGACTCTACATCACTGCTGGACACAGGGGACCGGCTTAAGGTGCCCATACAACTTGCGATATTATCGCTCGATTTTTGAACGAAATCGGGTTTTCGTAGGATAATCGGTCCAATTGATGGGTAGTCAAGGATCACAATTACTGTACAACTGGCCAAATTTCGTCTATCGGGCAGGCTAGAAAATGTGCACTTATTGTTATTGCTATTATATAGGGGGATAACAATCCCCCTATATAATAGCAAAGGCACACTGACAGGTCCTCTTTATGGAGACATTAGGGGTCTCTAGGACCCCTAATGTCACCTGTGGACCCCAAAAGCTGATGAAGCATAGATCTGCTTCATCAGCTTCTTCTCTTTGGCCATAGCAGCCAGATGACTGACAGGTGAATGCGGAAGTGATGTAATACACATGGGTGGGTGCGGACGCGAACGAGCACATATAGACGATTGGCGGGCTATGGAGCCGCTAATCGCCTATATGTGAAACACCCGGTAACGGGTGTGTGCAATGGTCGGGACTTTTCTGCCCGTGTGTGCCCGCGAGCAGAAAAAAATTGCCGTCCGGAGACGGCAATCCGCCAATGCTGCAGTGCCGTCCGTCCGTTTTTTTTACTACGGGCGGACGGCAAGTGGTTAATTGTACGAAAAAGAGAAAAATAAAATTACTAAATCGCAACATGAACACTGCACATGCGCAAATGAAAATCTGCTCCGTTGATCGACTAAATTTGGTCAGTTAGTATTGCGAACGAATGATAATTGAAATCCACATTGGTCTGTGCATGATGGGGCAGTCGTGTGGAAATCGAACGGTTCGATGAAGACACGAAAAAAAATCTAACGATAATTGTATGATGTACGGCCACCTTTAAGTGACCACAACATGGGCAGGCATTCACACACCCGACACACCAACTGAATTCTAAAGATCTTTCAGCAAGTTTAGACCTGCAATGAAGCGGAGTTTGGCAGCAGAGACAGTGGGACAGGTAAGTAATCATTGCTTTCTTTGCTGGAGGCTGTTCATTTCATTTTTCAAAAATAGAAACAGGGCCGTTTGAAGTACAAGGTATTTATGAAACTTGAAGGGCCACTGAGCTATAATGTCCAGGGAATGCTGCTAACAAAACACACAGCTCTTGACACATATGGATATCCCAAAAACAGTACCATATAGAAAAAATAATCACATCATTATAGCAAACCTGTGTTTGAAGCAATAGCCCCAAAGCTTCCTCCAGTATATAGCAAGCACATTTGAAGCCCTACCATATTTTGAACAAAGGTCTACCTCAATTCCAACTAAAAAATATTGTAGCTGTAAGTGAATACTATTTCAGTTAAAACTTGCTGGCACAGGCTAGAATAGAGATCATTTCTATCTATAATCGCTATCCTAGAAAATGTATGATCATAAAAGCAATGCTATCAAGGTTACACATGCAAGCAAATCATCTATGGTCAAAAGAGGGCATGCTAATGTTTAAATGTGGCTCCTTTCCACTGAGATCAATAAATTGTTTCTGCTTTATCTGTGCTGCCTCATCAGTACTATAAAATGTGTTTATGTGGCATATAAATTAGCAATGCACACACCTGTGCATCAAGCTTTTAGACCATGAGGGAAGATTTTAAGAGGAGGATTTTATATATTGCAAATAAAAATTAATGTAAAAAAGGAATACATTTCAGAAGAAACTAAATATATGGTTTGTGTCAAATTTAATTTAGAAACTACACTGCCTGTCCAAAAAAAATAGTCACCACCTGGATTTCGGGCAGTGTTATGATCTAGGGTTGCTTCAGTTGGTTAGGTCTAAGTTCATATGCCCAAAAAAATTAGGTCAGCTGCCTACCTGAATATATTGAATGATCAGGTTTTTCCCATCAATAGATTTTCTTATTTTCTGATGGCACAGGAATATTGCAAGATGACAATGCCAGGATTCATTGTGCTCAAATTATGAAAGAGTTGTTCAGTGAGCATCATTTTCACACATGGATTGGCCACCACACAGTCCAGGCCTTAACCCCAGTGAGAATCTTTGGGAGGTGGTGGAGAAAACTTTACACAGTGGTCCAACTCTCCCATCATCACTAACAGATCTTGGTGAAAAATTAATGCAACTCTGGACAGAAATAAATGTGACATTGCATAAGCTTATCCAAACAAACAATGTCACAGCAAATGCATGCTGTAATCAAATCTTCCTTCTGACCTTTCTTGTGTCTAGCAGCACACAACCTTTCCCCTACTCTTACAATCCCCTTGCTTGCCTGGGGATGCAACCTTTGATCACAATGTCATTCAACAATTCCAGAACTGTCAAATGCCTGTATCCCCACTGTGCCTTATGATTCCATCCTCTAAAGAACACAGCAGTAACCAGGGCCGGATTCCCCACAAGGCCACCGAGGCCATGGCCTCGGGGGCGGCAGGGAGTAGAGGGGCAGCACAGCTTGTCAGCGTTTACATACAAGTGGTCCGGTGGCTGTAGAGCCGCCTGATCGCTTGTATGTGGTGCCGCTCTGTGCGCCCCCCTCTGCCGCCGCTGGTCCAGAGCTCCGCTGTGCCCGGTGTGGGCGCAGAACCAGCACGGTGGCTCTGTGACTAGAGATCAGTATAGGATCTCCCTCTGAACTCCTCCCTGTTCTCTGAATGCAAGAAGTTATGTACATTACATAACTTCCACATCCAGCTGTCACTCTCTGGCTACAGAAGCCGGAGAGAAGCTGGTGAAGCAGACCTAGGGTCCCTTGATATCTCCATAAAGAGGGCCAGTCACTGTAAATTGGTTATCACATAGGGGACTTCTTATCCCCCTATGTGATAGCAATAAATGTAAGTGAAAAAATAAAAAAAGTTTAAAAAAAAGTTTGCTTTGCTTTTTTCCATGCGTTATTGATTAGATTAAAGTGTATTATCATTCTTATATCTGTATTTATAGCATGATCCATAAGCCCATCTTTCTTTTACCACTTTTCTAATATTTAAGGCTTACTATGGGTTTTAGTACACGTGTACCACCTGGTGAAAATAAGTGCATCTGCCTGCATGGTACATAAATCTAATGCCTATAGTTCTAGTGATGTCAGTGTGCATGATTATATAGTGCACATTTTCAGTGAGAAAAAAACATAGTTAAAATGATGTCACAGATTAGCGCAGCATGCAATAATTACACACGGGGGCCAGGTTCACACCGGGGCGATCGAGCCCGCGCGGCAACTGTGCACGATGCCCCGCGGATTGCCACACGGTCACTGAGTCGCCCACCATCAGCGATCGCGCTGCCATTATTTTCTAATGGCACCCCAGTCGCGCCGTGCGGTTTCCACCCATGCAACCGAACACGGTTTGCGGCAAAAAAAAAGCCACTTATCGTGTGTCCCAAAAAAACGTACATGTACCTTTTTTCTGTGATTGCTGCATGGATGTACCCCATTGAAATGAATGCACATGTCCCCGATCGCCCAGGCCTGCACCGGCTCTAAAGGAGCCATTCACTCCTTAGACTGTAACCAGCAAACATTTCCAGGAACTGAAGTCACTTGTCGTCATGCTGTCAAATGCCTGTGGAAAAGGGAAGTTCATTCCCTGTTCATTGCCAATAGCTGTATAGTACAACACGTTTATCACATGCAGACTGTGATGCAACAATTATATGCAAAATACTCCGAACTATACGGAAGCCCCACTCTTTAGTCACTTTAGAAAACCGAGATTCAGGCTTCCTGTAATATAGGTTAGCCAATAAATACTACAGTGTATTTGTTAGGTTTGTGGTGCGAGCCCGAAATGATGAGGAGGACCTCCCTTGCAACCCCGTCTGATGACCACTGGGGTTGAGAACAGTAGGGTTCAGGCAGGGGATGCACGAGTGCCAGATGCGGAACTCTAGGTCACGAGGTCTACTTGGTGACCTAGCAGAGTAGCCGCCGTGCTTTAAGGGTAAGGCAGAAGGAAGCGTAAGAGACTAGCCGGGTCAGTAGCGTGCGGGCAATATGGTACAAGGGGTTAAACCAGAGCGAAATCCAGAGACAAGCCGGGTCGGTAACAAGCGAGCAGCAGAGCGCAAGGATAAGGCCAAAGAGAAGTCCAGAAACAAGCCGGGTCGGTAACAGGGAAGCCAAGGGAACAAGAACCACAATGGGCAAGGAACAGGAGCAAGGCAGGGTGAATGACCAGAGAGAGCAAGCACAGCACGAACATCCAGTGCTGGCTGAAGATCACCCAGCACTGAATGAGCGTCCTGCAGCGCCTTATATAGGCTGAGGATGAGCTACTGCGCATGCGCTGGCCCGATTACGTCACCGCGCCGCTCCGACGTGATGACGTAATCCCGCGCGACGACGCAATCCGCCAGGCCTTCTGTCGTCTGCGCCTGCGCAACCGGCCCGTGCTGCAGGATCACCTCTCTGCCTATATCCCGGCAGAGGGACACGGCATCTCCCACAACCAGGTACCCGACAGTATTACATGTAA